TTCTGAGCTAAGGGTATTCTTACCTTACTCCCAGGAGATGAGCAGAGTTCACAAAATAGAGGTTAGGTTTCTCAGAGAGACCGAAGTTCAAAAGTAAGAACCCAAATCAGCCAGCTGCCTTAACACAGAGCATTTATACCCTCCCCACCTCCCCACCTCCTTTTCAGATAAGAACGTTCCACATGTTCAAGCTTGAGTTCCTGTTTCTTGGCAGCAATAACAAAATGAAGCTTGTTGTAACAAGACCTACTGTGTGACTTTAACTTGGTGTTCGAGTCTCATCATTTTATTTGGAACAGCTTTCAGAACAACATCTCATTTTCTGTTAAAGGTTCAAGGTTAGTTTATTTGTTCAGCACATTGTAAGACACAGAGGCAATTCAAAGTGCTCCACATTCAACACATAATAATTAAAAACAAAACACACATGCAATAAAAAAAAAGATAATTCATAAAAGCGATAAAATACTGTCTGCAACTAAAAGTGCAACGATCAGGTTAAAGGATCTCAGGATAGGCTGCATTAAAAAGAAAGGCTTTTAACGTTGATTTAAAAGAACCCAGTGTTGGGGCGGACCGCAGAATTTCAGTCGGTTTGTTCCAAGCTTGTGATTAAATAAAAACTAAAAGCTGCCTCAGTGAATGGAGCTCTGACTCTAACAGTGAAGCATCTCCAACATCTGGTCCCAATCCATTCAGTGCTTTGTATGTTGAAAGTAGGACTTTGAAGTGTGTGTGTGTGTGTGTGTGTGTGTGTGTGTGTGTGTGTGTGTGTGTGTGTGTGTGTGTGTGTGTGTGTGTCTGGCAGCAGCGTTCTGGATGAGTTGGAGTTGTTTTATTGATTTTGTACAGAGACCTGTGAAAACACTGTTACAGTCGTCAAGTCTGCTCAAAACAAAGGCATGGACTTGTTCTTCGAGGTCGTGTTTGGTCATAAGTGTTTTCAGTCTGTTTTTCAGGTGATAAAAAGCTGATTTTGTGATTCCTTTGATGTGCTTTTCCAAAATGCGGCTTCACTCCTTCTTACAGGGAAGAGAGACGATATGACGACATCACACCTGTTCTGGCAGATCTTCACTGGCTTCCTGTCAGTTACAGGATCCAGTTCAAGTATGTACTTGTCGTTTTTAAATCATTGCATGGACCTGTCTGAGTTGTTGCACATGTTCAAGCTTGAGTTCCTGTTTCTTGATAAGCAATGACTCGTGATCTTCATGTGTAAATGGTACATTGTCAGCAATAACTAAATGAAGCTTGTTGTAACAAGACCTACTGTGTGACTTTAACTTAGTGTTTGAGTCTGAATCAATAATACATTTGATTTGGAACAGCTTTCAGAACAGCATCTCATTTTCTGTTAAAGGTTCAAGGTCAGTTTATTTGTACAGCACATTTTTTTGCACGTACATAACAACCCAAACTAAAATAAACAATGCAATACAGCTATACAAATACAGAGATAATATAAAATAAAAATAAATAAAAATGCAGTTGGGGGTCCCATTCTCATTTGACCATTTGTGAGATCAGTCAGTATTCCTTGTCTCTGGGTTGAATCTTAAACGTTGACCATTTCTCCCATTTCTCTTCATATTGTGTTTCTTGCAGTCTCAGTCGATATGTCATTTTTTCCATGATATGAATCTCCTCCATGTTCTCCATCCACTGGTCCCGTAGGAGGCTCCACCTTGCACCATTTCCCAGTTATGGCTTTCTTGCCAACTATCAACAGTATTTTTACAAGATATCTATTTATGTAGTGAACTTCTCCCTCTGTAAAATTGCCCAGATAGAGCACCATGTAGTCCATAGGAACCTCATATCTCAGTATCTTTGGCCAAACCTTGTGTATCGATTCCCAGAACTTAAGTATTTGTTGGCATTTCCAAAATGCACGGTTGGCCTCTGATTCTCCACATTCTCTCCAGCACAGAGGATTTGTATTTAAGTATTTACTCTGAATCTAAGGTGTGATAAAAAATCTGATCACATTCTTCCATGAGTATTCTCTTCATATCCGTGAATTGGTGGATGATTGATGTGTCTTCCACATGTTTTGCCAATCATCATCTGAAATGGTTGTGTTAAATTCCTTTTCCCATTTCTCTTTTATATATTTAGTTGAATGTTTATTTGTGGACAATACTTTGTATAGAGGAGTTATGATTCTGATTTTGGTTTCTTTGTATGAATTAGTTATGATTTGAATCACACCATTCACTTCAGCAGAGGGGTCTCTTTTAATTTGCTTTTTGTAGTAGTCCCTTGTTTGTAAGTACCTGTAGAAGTCATGTTTATCCAGATCATATTATCCTTCAAATTCTGGAAACTCTCCAGCTCCCCATCCTTCCCTAAAGTGCACCATGCTGTAATCCCCTTGGTTACCCATAGTTTGAATCCCTTATCGTATCCAGCCGGTTTAAAACTACTATCAAATACTACCCATTTTAGTAAATGTATATCTTTCCCTATCCCATGCTTTTTAACTATTTGAAACCATAATTTCAGAGTGAAGGATGTAATTACATCTAGTTGGTTCTGTATTATCTTGTATATTTTTTTATCACCAATAATATTCTGGATTGGATATTCAACACATTATTTTTCTATTTCCTTCCACTTTGATGTGTAATCTGGTTTGCACCAGCATACAACATATCTGAATTGGGCAGCATTATAGTATTCCTTTAGTTTTGGAAGGCCCATGCCCCCTTTGTTTTTAGGTAACTGGAGGTTTCATACTTTACTCTGGGTTTTTGCCCCCCCAAATAAACCTTGATATTTTTTCCACTGGCAGGGATTGGAACAGGTAGAGAAGTCGTGGCAGAAGATTCATTTTCACCGTCTCAATTCTAGAGGTAAAGTCTAGTGGTAGAGTAGACCATCTCTCTATATCTTTTTGTATCTCTTGATTTATCTTATTGTAGTTTGTATATTTTATTTAATCCTCTAGTAATGATGACACCAAAATATTTTATTTGCTTTAAATTCCAATTAAGATTAAATGTGTCCCTAATCATTGTTGATGGTGTGTAGTTAAGTGTTAGTATCTGTGTTTTGAAATATAAATTTTATATCCAGGTGTCCATATGTTTCTAGAAGCTCCATAAGCACCGGAAGTGATGTATTAAAGGGGACCTATCATGCAAAATGCACTTTTGTACGTCTTTTATACATGAATATGTGTCCCCGGTGTTCCAGGGAACTCACCAAGTGTCAGAAAACACAACCCTCTCTATTTTCCTCCATACCCAAATCTCTAAAAAAGGGGCTGCAACGGATCTGATAAAAACTGATCCAGATTTGAACACTTTCCTGATGTCAGGACGGTGGCGCTACGGCTATTGGGCCAACTCCACCAATCAGGAGGAGACAGCCACGGCCATTGCCGTTCGAAAGCGCTGGAGACGCTGTAGTACATATGCCAGGCCTGTAGATGGTGCTGTTCTCACAGAATCAGCCCTTGCAAAAACAGAGCTAGAAATGGTCAAATTGAGCAAAATGAGGCATGGCTAAAATGCATGATCTGTTTGGTATTTAAAAAAAAAAAAAAGTATAAATATGCCTTATATAGGTATGGTCCTACACTATATTATTCAAATATAGCATGATAGGTCCACTTTAAGTTGTTCAAGAAAGGCTATGACATCATCTGCAAAAAGCCCTATCTTATGTTCCTCCCCCTTTATCTCAACACCCTTCATTTCTTTATATTGGCGAATGGCCTAAGTATGGTCCAAGGGCTCCATGAAAAGAGCAAATAGAGTGGGTGATAGACAACATCCTTGTCTGGTTGATCTCTGTAAATCAATGTTGTCTGTCAATTTTGATTCTAGCCCATGGTTTTTGATATAATGGTCTTATGCATTGTGTTGCCTTCTTATTAAATCCGAATCGTTCCAATATTTGATACAAAAATTCCCAGTTTACCCGGTCAAATGCTTTCTCTGCGTCAATGCTTACTAGTACAGTACTTTGTTGTTTGTACAGTCTTTTGTGCATGGTCCACTATATGTAGGGTTCTTCTAATATTATCTTGTGTTTGACGTTGGCTTACGAATCCTGTCTGGTCTTCTTCTATAATTTCTGATATAAAAGTGTTCAGTCGTTTCGAAATAATTTTTGTGTATATTTTATAGTCCACGCCGATTGACGGTAAGTCTAGTGAGTTTAAAAAAGCCCTCATTTCCTCTTTATCTGCGGATGTTGGTTGTGTATATAATCTCCTGAAAGATTCTTTCTATATTCTCCAGTGTATACGTCAGCATGTTTGTATCTGGTTCCCTAATTGTATTTTGATGACTTGTTGTTTTCGTAAACGGTTTGCTAATAGTTTAGTGGCTCTGGGTCCAGTTTCATAATAGTTTTATTTCACAAACTTGTTCCTCTTTTCTATTTCATCAAGTAATAAACATTTATCTTTGTTCTCAAATGTGTGATTTCTTGGTCTGTTTCTGATTCTTTCTGAAATTCCCTTTCCAATTCTCTTAATCTTTTTGAATATTTTCTATATGCCTCTAATTTAATATGTTTTGCATTTGCAGTTTCAGCTATCAATTTCCCTCTGATGACCGCTTTCATGGCCTCCCATAGGATGTTAGGGTCTACTGTTCCATTGTCATTCTCCTCTATGTATTAGTTACGCTTACACTGTAGGTGCGCCGCATTTGCGCTTCAAATGAAGCTCCCTCCGCAAAATGAAGCACCCTCCGCGAGGTGAGGCCCCAGGCAGATGTGATCGGCCTGTAGGGAGGGGCGGCCCTGACTAGTTGTATCCTTGTTTCATAACAACATTCAAAACTCCACCGCAAATTAAGATTCCCTTTGTTTCTACAGCAATTACAGTGAACAGATTTTAAAACATTTTACCGCTTTCTGGAGGTGCATGTATATTTATCAGTGTTATTGGTTCATTCTTTAATCTTCCTTTAACTATGATATACCTTCCTTCTTTGTCTTTGATTTCTTTTTCATATTCAAATTTGGTTTGATTGGATATTAATATTGCAACTCCTCTTCTCCTCCCCTCCTTATATGAACTATAGAATACATTTCTGAAACCATACCTTCTCAGTTATATCTCATTATGAACAAAACACAAACCAGAAATAAAAAGGACTTCCAAACATGTGGGAATCTTCCATCACGGTGCGTGGGGAAAGTCCTCCTCTTCAAAGAGGGCCCCTCATTGGACCTCAAACTAGAGCCAAAAAAGGGGGGTCCATAAAGTCCAATCATGTCCAACATAACTAACTCAACATCTCTAGGCCGTCTCATATTGTATTCACTTAAAGTGGACCTATCATGCTATATTTGAATAATATATATAAGGCATATTTATCCTTTTTTTTTCTCAAAATACCAAACAGATCATGCATTTTAGCCATGCCTCATTTTGCTCAATTTGACATTTTTTAGCTCTGTTTTTGCAAGGGCAGATTCAGTGAGAACAGCACCATCTACAGGCCTGGCATATGTACTACAGCGTCTCCAGCGCTTTCGAACGGCAATGGCCGTGGCTGTCTCCTCCTGATTGGTGGAGTTGGCCCAATAGCCGTAGCGCCACCGTCCTGACGTCAGGACAGTGTTCAAATCTGGATCAGTTTTTATCAGATCCGTTGCAGCCCCTTTTTTAGAGATTTGGGTATGGAGGAAAATAGAGAGGGTTGTGTTTTCTGACACTTGGTGAGTTCCCTGGAACACCGGGGACACATATTCATGTATAAAAGACGTACAAAAGTGCATTTTGCATGATAGGTCCCCTTTAAATAAGCCTTGAGTGGCTTTAACAGTTTAGCTTTATAGCCATACCTGCTTTTGTATTCAGATGTCTAACCTCTGTACTTTAGTAAAGAGTCCTAAGCTCTCAGCTGGTAGGCTTGTAGCTTTTCTCTCGCCCGGGGCGCTGCCTCCCTGCTCGGCTTTGCCCCCTTCACTAGCTGCCACTCCGTCCCTCCTCACAGTCTCCCCTCCGCTTTTGATTCATTGTCGCCTTCGGGAGTTTCCACAGAGTAGCCTCTTTCTTTCATATCTTGTGCAGCCTCTCTGGCGCTTCCATACGTCTTTACTCCGTTGTTCCAATGTATGCGTCTTTTTGCCAAAGGTGTCTGAAAGCCAGCCTGTCCTCCTCTAAAAAACGACCAAATAGGTCGATTGTTCAGCAGCTTATTACAACCTATAGTCATGTTTTAAAGTTTAGCACCTCTAGTGGCCGTGTAAGAAACAACAATTTGCGGCGATTGCAAACGCTCCGGAGGGTCGTATATTCACAAATAACCCTCCCTGGAAAATCCTAAATTGTAGAATAGTTTGGCCATTAAAATGTGCAGTGGCGAGCCGTCAGGGCCCTCTAGGCCCTCTGTGAGGGCCTAAGATATTCTAAAAAATAATATTTAAAAACATTTAAAAAATATATATATTTTTTAAATATATATTTTTTAAATATTATTTTTGTTATATTTTTCATTAGTTTTACCGAAAAAAAACTTGATTTAATTGTATTTAAAATAACATTTCCAAAGAAATAAATCCTTCGAATCTGCCTGTTCAGTCTCTGTTGAATGTGAAGGGTTACATGAAAGAAGCTCGTCTGGCCCTCTCTGCGATTCACAGAGGGCCCGCTATAGTAACTGAACGAGAGAGTAATGTCAAATGACAGTACAATTGACCAATCATATCTTCCCTCTAAATGGGTGGGTTTTATTATCGCGGACTTTATGACAAGTTCCGCCCGCTGTGAAACTTTTCTTGTTTCCATAGCAACAACAACTTCCTGTCAACAGCGTGAACTCGCCTTCAAAATAAAAGCATGCCAAATTACACTTAAGACATACAACTGCAACGAAAGTAACAAACACAATGCAATATCATTTTCAATGTCAAAGAACACAAATTGGGTTCACAGGTGTTGTTTTGTGTGGTAGAGGGTCGCTGTCATTGATGCGTTTTGCACCCTGGGCCGTTGTTTTGATATTCCGCTGAAGTATACGCTGTGACGTAATAACTATTTTTTTTTCTTTTTTTCAAGGGAATTGGTGGGGGTCAGAGGGCCTAGGTATAAAGCTCACGGCTCGCCACTGAAAATGCGTTATGTGTATATTGTACTTTTAGAATCCACGTCCAGTGGATATAGGATCTATAGTTTGATAGATATTACAAAGATGATTTGAGGTCTCGCCAGGAGAACGTGTCTTTCCCCCTATTCAATTCTATTGACAGCAGCGTCCATTTAAAGTTGGCGTCAACCCTCACGGGGTGAAAACAGTATTTCCGGTCTCTACGTTTTCATAATAAAACCGGAAGTATTCCCCTCACTGTCAAATGATTTTACAGTGATATCTGCATTACTCATCCACTGAAAAACACCATATTATCCTTGTTAATTACTCAAGATTGATTGGTTTAAATTGTGTACAATGCTTTTGTGTTTTTAACCTTCGATTCGGAGAAACAAATAGTTTTTTCGGAGTTTAGGATGGCCGAAGACACTACACTACCCAGAATCCCCAGCTATCAATTGGGACTACAACATCCGCTTTGCTTGACAAACCCCGTCATTAGTCCTCAAGCTCTGTGATTGGATGTTGGAGTGGCAGTGCGCCAAGGTTACGCCGAGCGTCAAACAGCTCTTTGAAATGGAATGAAACCACGGCAGACTATCCAAAACTGGAATTGGACGGGTCCAAAAACTACAAGTCCCTGTCTATCAGCTGTGCACCGTTATGGTGTAAATATAGCCAATATCTACCAATTGGATCAAATATAAAAGTCAGCCGAATTACTATTGATACTGCAAGGAGACGTATTGTGTGAAGAGAAATTGAAGATGTTGTTTAATTGCTGATATAAGTATTATTATTATTTAATTTTTTTAATGTTTTCGGATTTCACATCGCATAAACACCATATCCCAATGTGCATTGGCGTGACCCCATGTGTCGGGGCGTGGCTGGTGGGCAGTGGGCACTAGTTCCAATTCAAAGTCCATCTGTCTCATCTGCAATGCGAGCGTGGCTTTACCGAAGAAGGGTAATTTAGAGCGGCATTTCAAAACGGTGCACAAACGCTACGAGACGGAATTCCCTCCTAATTCGGCCCTACGCTCTTCTCGTTGCGTGCATATGTAACAGAGTTAAACATGTGAATACATCATTATATGTTTGTGAAAGTTTAATTCATAATAAGTTGTGAATTTTAAGAGATGAGATTGTTTCATTTAATATTTTAAGTTTTGTTTCCCGTGGGAACACCGTCCCGTTGCACGTCTTTTTGTACTTCCGGTATGCATTTTCCACCTCCGCGGACTGGCCATCTGTAGAATCTGGAGAATCACAGAACAGCCGGTCGTCAAGGGCCGGCTCGATTCGCTGACGGCCGTCACCGCCCTTCATTTTTTATGTTTTTAAAAGGCATCACTGAAGTTGCACCGACAGAGGTCCGCCGTTTCCCCGCAGCGAGGCTCCCCCCCAGTTGACAGTTCGCTAGCACCCCAGCCCCCCCCCCTCTCTATTTGGACTGGTAGATCTCGGCAGACTGGCAACTTTAAAAGTAGCTCTTGGTTCAAAAAAGGTTGGGCACCCCTGCCTTAGGAGTTAGTGCATGTTAATCAGTGACGTGCGGTGAGGTTCATGGCTGGTGAGGCACTGACTCACTGAGTCAGATTTACAAATATTATATTTTGACCTTAATCGAAATATTCGGTTATTTTCAAAAGCTTTTTTAGTCTGATGCTTCGATTCATTTTAAACAGACCGTTCAACAAAAGGATACCCAAAATCTAAATATTGGATTGTTCTTTCTTAGTAAGATCCCATTTTCATTAGGAATGTGGTCTTACCTTGACTTGAAGATGAAGTCCATGCTATCCTTCTGGACAACAATCTCTATTACTTTTTTGTAAAAGTCCTCCTTATCTTCCTGTAGTTTCAAAAGTCTAGTTTGTTGTTACGTCTACCGTCTCTGCGTAGAATAACAGTAGCAACAAGAAACTGTGGGCTCACGTGCCTCACCTCAGAATGCGTCACCCCACAGTAACTGGCTTGAGCGCGCTCACAAAGTAAGTGGCCGCGCTAAATTAGTGCCCGTGCTCCAGCAAGTTACTGTGGGCTTACGAGAGGCAGAGCACGTCCCTGCCTCACTTGTCATCGCTCCCGTAGCGGAGCTCGGCAAATTTGCTGATTTTGACTATAAAAAGCGATTAGAATCATACAGAAATCACACTTACAACACAGATCAGTGGAGACATTTTATTATTATTACTATTTCGTTTTTCTTTAGTTGTTTTTCCATATGACAGGTGAGGCTCTGCCTCCCCTGCCTCCACTGACTGCACGTCGCTGATGTTAATGGTCTGCTAAGGCCAACAAATGTTCCTCCAGAGGGAGTTTCTCTCCCACACACTCCCCCTGATTTTTTTCAGAAAATATTGTAATTCAGACTTTAAAAAAAAGCACGAGTCAGGTAGTTTAATGTCCACAGATAATCCCTTTAGTATAAAACACAGAGAAGCAGCAGACCTGCAGGACATGCATTATTATAAAACAGTTGTAGATTATCTTCCCGTCCACGGCCTCTGGTTTAGATTCTCAGACTCTGGGTTTGGTTCCTCTTCTCCTCCTGTTAGTTTAGACTCTCAGACTCTGTTTGGTTCCTCTTCTCCTCCTGTTAGTTTAGATTCTCAGACTCTGGGTTTGGGTCCTCTTCTCCTCCTGTTACTCGGTGTTACCGGAGATGTCAGGCGGTTCGTCTGCGGCCTCGGGGTGAGCGGAGGGGATTCTGGTGCCACCCTGACGCTGTTTTTCCCGTACAGCCGGCGCTCGTACTGCAGCAGCTGCTCCCAGAAGCCGGCGTTGAGCCGAATGCACGGTCGCTGATCCTGAACCTGGGAAACATGACAGGATGTATGATTACCTAGAAGAGCATCAGGACTGTTTTAGGCATATGATAGCTATGTGATTAACATGATGATTCAGCCTCTATGGAGAGAGACATATGACAAGCA